TCTGTGTGTTGATGTGACGGCAGCTTCAGACTTCTGTTTTTATTCTGAGCTGCTGTCAGATGGACAGAAGCTCATCCAGACTCTCACATGGACAGAAGCTCATCCAGACTCTGAGCTGCTGTCAGATGGACAGAAGCTCATCCAGACTCTCACATGGACAGAAGCTCATCCAGACTCTGAGCTGCTGTCAGATGGACACACAGAGGATCAGGTCTGTGGATAACCTGCTGACTGTAGCTCTGAATGAGACCTGCTGGCCGCTGCTGCCCCCTACAGGATGCTCTGCTCTTATTAAGTTACTTCTCTCAGTTGGTCCTTGGCCCTGTTTGGCTAACACATGGAGGTTCTGGTGGGGTTCCTACCATGCCAGGCTGAGTGAACACATCCCCCCGTCCTCCGTCCACCGGCGTACAGCGACCAGCGTGTCCGTTGCAGAAGCAGCTTCCTCGGACCACCATGTTGTACAGAGAGTAGTAGTACTTGTCCTGAGGGTTCCTGCGTCTCCGAGTCAGCAGCGTGTCGCCGAGCGTGAAGAGACGAGTGAAGTTCAGCCGGATGTTGGTGAGCGTGATGAGATCTGAGCAGAAACAACATGCAGCGTTTCACACCTTCTTCTATCAGTCTACATGTTTACACGCTGGTCTTCCTGTCCTCGAATCAGGACGCATGAGAAACCTGAATCTGTCCATCCACACACCTGAGCTAGTTCTGTCCCCTCACCTGCATTCTGTCTGTAGGTCTTTAGCTTGTGGTTAGTCAGTGAACCCATCAGTACCGGGTCCTGGCTAACTGCTGCTATGTAGTGGACACAATGTATTCAGCAACGGCCAATCAGAGAGCAGGACTGTGGCCATCAAACCTCACCTTGAATGTTGGGAGCGTACGGGTTTTCAATTTCAAACACCGGATCCAGAGCTTTCAGCACCACCTGGTGGACAGACATCAGAACGACATTTTAATCAACTGAACTGATCGGGGTCACATTCACTGTCAAAGACTGTGTGTATTTGTACTTCATTGTGTGTATTTGTACGGTCATGTGTACTGGTACCTCTCCGTCGGTGGATGGTTCTGACCCAGAGTATCTGCTGTCACAGACGACGTCATCGATGCTGTCAGCCGGACCCGCTGACACTGACGGGAAGTGAAGCGAACAATCTTCTGCAAAGTAACGAAACACTTTCCAGCTTCGGCCGAAGTCCTTGGAGCGCTCGATCAGCATGGCGGCTGGACGGAAGCTCTGTGGAGAACCACTCATTAGCGCTGCTCTGACCTGCTGCTGTCAGAGGAGTTTCAACCCAACCTACACCTGGTCTTCACCTTCATGGACTCACTGATACAGACCAGCTGGAGACCTCCAGCTGAGCAGAAGCTGAAGTGGACCGAGCAGCAGAACGGTCCAGAGTAGCACAAACACAACCCAGAGACTCTGTCCCAAAGCTGGACATTTGGTAGAAACCATCTCAGAGGACAGATGACCCAAAGCTCACACCTAAATGGAACGTCTGCAGATCAGATGTTTTCTACAGAACCACCTATGATGGCCTTCATGGAGCCATCAGGACGTCTCCCACCTCCACCAGAACCTGGTCAGGGTCATAAAGGTTGGTTGTGAGGAGAACCACAGCTCTGGAGAAGACGAGACACCGTTCCTCGTGGGACCTCCTGACCTTTCTACAGCACAATTAGCTGAACAGTTTAAATCCCACAATGAAGGAACCCCAACCTCAGCAGAGTGATGATCCCAGGGGTTGACCCTAACCCTGGTACCAGGTTGAGTCGGACCAGCACTGAAGAAGAACACATCGACTCTGAAGTGTTTGTGGAAGATGAAGGGACAATAACACGACCTTCTCAGCCATAGAGACACAGACAGGCGTCTATATGTTTGTTGCTGCTGTTCTTAGAAGTTTACCGTCATGTGTCTGTAAATTCTACAGTTTCTAAGTTTATCCTCACATTTAAACCTTTTATTATTGTCTCTGGAACCATCTGAGATAAACACGTCCTCTTTGAAATCCATTTTAATCACCTGTTCAGATGTGAGATCATCTCAGAGATCTAATACTTGGATTTGCACATTAACAGCGTCACTCAAAGTGCTGAAGGTGTTTGTCCTCTGACGTCTCCTGGACAGTGAAGCTCCACACCACGTCCATGATTGGTCAGGTGCTGATCTGAGTTTGGCTCCAAAGCAACTATGTCGTATTTCTACTAAAGCTTTTCTTAGTTGGACTTTGTTTTTCGATGTTTTTCTTAACGTTGCGCTGCTCAAGTTACTTTTACAGCTTAACAGCTCCAACATGTTCTTTGTGACAACGAGCCTCGACTCTTAGTGTTTTTCCTTTTTTCAACCCGTCCTGTCTGGTCCTGAACCGACCATCCAGCAGATCTTCTCATCCTCTGTCTCCCTCCTACAAAGGCTTCACAAGGATCATCTTCTTTCTGCTAAACGACTGAATTTAGGAGTTATGACTAGCTTCCAACTCCAGAGATTCTAAATGGATCACCGCTCTGCCAGCTGCTCCCAGTGACGACCAGGGCAATTATTCTGTTGTTGATCTGCATCCAGTCATTCGCTGTTTGGTGTTTGTACGTCATTGTTGTCTACTGTTTGTTTGTGGTATTAGCTAATAAATGTTTGTGTATATTATCGCCGGTTCTACCATGAGCTGAGGTCAATGAAATCAGAGTTCATGGCGTCTGATAATGCGACTGATCAATACAATAGATTTGATTAATTATTCATATTGAATCTAAAATAGTCCTGATAAAAGTCTCAGACGGTCCATTTAAACCTCTGAGTGGTGCCCCCATGAACCAGAGCAACCTTCAAACATCTGAGTGGTGCCAGAACCTTAACCACAAACTGTAGTTGGGCTTCATGTAAGATGTTTGGTTCATTTACACTACAGTGATGAAAATCCATTTTATTGTGTTTTGTGGTTATAAACTTTGAGGTGTAAAATAAGAATTGCTGTGATATTGACCAGGATATGTCCTTTAACTCCCATATAAAACAAACATGGAGGACAGCCTTTTTTCATCTTCGTAA